ATAAGAAAAATGATTAAAATAATCTAAACTAAAGTATCAACAAAAAATGAACAAACTGTAACAAAAATCACTTAAACATTATTCTTCTTACATTTTTAGCTATAAAATTAATAATCTAATTCGCATAATCCAACTTATAAGCTAAATCATTTTCGATGGATAAAATTGCTAATCCATTTAATATTTTTCATTTAACATAGTTGAGAAAAGATAAGATTTTTTTTTTTTTGATAAATAAAATTTATTGAGAAAAAATATCCAGAAGATGCTAAAGAATATAAAAATTTTAATTTGAAAATAACAACTGTAAGTAGTATAGTCAATCGTATTTTATATATTATCTATACATTTAAAAAATAACCATTCAATAATTTCAAAGAATTCACCACATCAATAAGTTTTTTTGTTTCTTTCGATAAAAAGCAACTATCTATTAGTTTTAATAATTTGCCACATCAACCATCTATTAGTTTTGAATCATAACTGAATTTTGTTGAAACTCGTTAAATTCTAGTAAGATTTTTAATTTTTTTTTTAAATAAGCTAATATAATAGTTAACAAAATTTTAAAACTTTTTTTTAGTCAAATTTTCTAAACCCAAAGCGACGACTTTGCTGGCTCAGAGCATCTCCAGTGTTAATTGTCAGAATAACATTGCCAAAGCTATAATTTAATATGCTACCACAGTAAAATATCAAATTATAATAATGGTATTCATTTTAGCATATTCCCAATCGACTTTCCCTCCTATTTTTAAGGTGGTGTTTGAATATAATTTTTTGAGTGATTTTTTTGTTTTTTTATTTTTATTTTTGTCTTTTATGATCTTTTTTATAATTCTTTCTAAAAAAAAAATTTAAATATTTACAAGCTACCACAAATATAAAAAATTTAGAAAAAAATATATATATAAAAATCCACCCCACCATTCACATCCAACGGTTTACAACCACCCTTGCTTTTTCTCACTCATTCACTCTTTTCGTTGTCAGGTAGTCTTCCCTATCTCCTATCTCTCATCTTTCTCCCTCATCTTTTCCCTACCACCACCACCATATCTTCATCGAATCCGGATCCTCCGTCGCCCTTTCCTGCTGCGCGTCCCTGTCGCCCTCCAAAACGACGTCGTTTTGAAGGGTTTTTTGTTTTTTTTTTTCTTTTTTCTTTTCTTCTTCTTCCCATCCCCTATCTCTTCCCAAATAATAACCGTTTTATGAGTCCATCCCCTATCTTCCCCTAAACCATGGAGTACATCCCCTATCTCCTCCTACACAATACAATGTATATAAACGTTTATCATATACATGTTCAATCAATACACAAATTTGATGTATTATTCCAACCGTCATATACAATGTGATTAGTTTCAGTTTTCCCTAATCAACATGCAAGGTCTACAACAATCAAGACTACCCTCCACCGATAGCCCAAAGCAGTTATTTCTAGCAGAAAATAAATGCATCAAAGAGGTATAATCTCAACATTTCCAAAGGTGAGTGATAAATTAATCCAACTACACCATTCAATCCCATAATTTCCCAATTTCATGGATTTCAACTCAATTTCATATTCTCACATTTTTCCGAAATTAATTATATAAATTAATTTATTACAATAATTAGGGCATTTTCCCATTTCTCAAAATATTGATCCGTAGACCAAATTCCATCAATTTAATCCTCAAACTTCATTTTTCCAAGGCTTTAAATGCATATAGAGCCTTAAATCATAAAACCCCTCTTTTACATTTTACAAACCAAACCCTAACTTTCTCAAAACCACCCAACAACACCATCATATCAAAATGACCAAAATAAAAGACAAAACTCATAAGATGGAGTAGGATATCCCTACCTTGAAGTAAAGAACTCGGATGGAGAAGATGACCAAACCCAAAGTGTTCCAAACCAAGAAATTTCCAGATTAAAATGAGGCCCACACAATCCTCTACCTTTCTTATAAAGAGGCAAGGCTAGAAACTCACAAGAATGAGATCGATCCCTAGAGAGAAGGTAAGTGTAAAGAGAGAGAGAGCTGAAATTAGGGTTTGGATATGAAAAGTGGATCAAAAAATGAAGAAGGGGACGACTGTTGTCTACTGATATAACACAGGCTCGCTCGAGCGAAGGAGTGGTCGCTCGAGCGAAGGAGTGGTTGCTCGAGCGACCAGACACAAGAAACCCTTGCTCTAGCGTAAAAAGCCTCGCTCGAGCCAACAAATCGAAGCTTCAGGTCCGCAACCCAGAAGCACACTTGAGCGCAAGAATGCTCGCTCGAGCGAAGAAATCCAAAACATATAGCTCGCTCACTCGAGCGAAGGAAAGCTCGCTCGAGCCAAGAAATGCAATTCTCAGGTCAAAATGAGACGCAGACGCACGCTCGAGCGAAGGACTTCTAGCTCGAGCCACCAGAAACAAAAACTCAACTCTCGCTCGAGCGATGGAACCCTGGCTCGAGCGAAGGATCTATAACATAGAGCTCGCTCGAGCAATAGAAGGCTCGCTCGAGCGAAGAACCAAAATTCTGGGCAGCAACCATTTGCTCCCACTCACACCCAACCTGAGACAAACCTGCCCAAAACATTCTATAACTCAAATACAAAGTATTGAAGGACGAAAACAAGATATAAACAACAACCAACATCCATGGAACCAAGTCCGGATTACACTAATCAATGGAGGGAAAACTGGGATCGCTATAAAATTATTAGGTACTCTCGGAGTACCACGTGAACATACTCCCTCACCAATCACTATTCCTTATGCCACCTCATATTCCTCAATTACCAATACAAATAATTAATGCTCCAATTTCTCCATCAATCATACTACCATAGAGTATAACATGACCATACTATTGAACTACTGAATAATCACTCTATAATAGGGTCAGCTCTGACTTTTTTGAGACGCAAAGTGAACTTTCAACATGGGACCTTTCAGATATTTTTTAAAAGTAATAATAATTATGTGTCTCAATTATTATTATTATTTTTTATTTTTTATTTTTGTATATTTGACAGTCATCGTCAAAAGGTTACTTCTAGTATACATTACAATAAGAAAAATGATTAAAATAATCTAAACTAAAGTATCAACAAAAAATGAACAAACTGTAACAAAAATCACTTAAACATTATTCTTCTTACATTTTTAGCTATAAAATTAATAATCTAATTCGCATAATCCAACTTATAAGCTAAATCATTTTCGATGGATAAAATTGCTAATCCATTTAATATTTTTCATTTAACATAGTTGAGAAAAGATAAGATTTTTTTTTTTTTGATAAATAAAATTTATTGAGAAAAAATATCCAGAAGATGCTAAAGAATATAAAAATTTTAATTTGAAAATAACAACTGTAAGTAGTATAGTCAATCGTATTTTATATATTATCTATACATTTAAAAAACAACCATTCAATAATTTCAAAGAATTCACCACATCAATAAGTTTTTTTGTTTCTTTCGATAAAAAGCAACTATCTATTAGTTTTAATAATTTACCACATCAACCATCTATTAGTTTTGAATCATAACTGAATTTTGTTGAAACTCGTTAAATTCTAGTAAGATTTTTAATTTTTTTTTTAAATAAGCTAATATAATAGTTAACAAAATTTTAAAACTTTTTTTTAGTCAAATTTTCTAAACCCAAAGCGACGACTTTGCTGGCTCAGAGCATCTCCAGTGTTAATTGTCAGAATAACATTGCCAAAACTATAATTTAATATGCTACAACAGTAAAATATCAAATTATAATAATGGTATTCATTTTAGCATATTTCCAATCGACTTTCCCTCCTATTTTTAAGGTGGTGTGTGAATATAATTTTTTGAGTGATTTTTTTGTTTTTTTATTTTTATTTTTGTCTTTTATGATCTTTTTTATAATTCTTTCTAAAAAAAAAAATTTAATATTTACAAGCTACCACAAATATAAAAAATTTAGAAAAAAATATATATATAAAAATCCACCCCACCATTCACATCCAACGGTTTACAACCACCCTTGCTTTTTCTCACTCATTCACTCTTTTCGTTGTTAGGTAGTCTTCCCTATCTCCTATCTCTCATCTTTCTCCCTCATCTTTTCCCTACCACCACCACCATATCTTCGTCACTACAACCACTCCCCTCTTTCTTTCTCTTTCTCTTTCTCTTTCTCTCCATTTCTGTCTCACACAATCCCAGAACCACGCCCATGTTTCTTTATCTTTCTCTTCATCTTCGGTGAAGATCAATTGATGAGGATCACAGATCACAAAGCATTATTCGATAGAACATAGGATTTCGGCTTCATCTTCTCTAACCCTCTGTTCTATCTCTCTCTCTAAACCCTAGCCCTTGAAATCGAAACCCTATTGTATCTTCGATCTATGTCTGAAATAAACCGAAACCCTTGATTGAATCAAGTCGAAACCCTTGAAATCACTTCATGAAGAAGATGAAACCCTTGAAATGAAACTCAGAGCATCCAAATTTGCTTTCTGAAGAAGATGAAAATGAAGAAGATGAAGATCTATTTAGTTCTAAGGATTTTCTTATAGGCCAATTAGGCTCATTGATTTTGAAAATATAGATTTAATATATTATTTGGAAATTAGATTTACAATTATATATCCTTGTTTCTATTATGTTTCATTCTCTTTTTTTCTTTTGTGCTAGAAAGCACACAATCTATGAGAATCAAATTTGGGATGATTTTTATATGAGAATCTTTTTTATTTAAAAAATATTTTAAAAGGAGTACAAAAATAACTTGAAATATGAGATTTTTCAAACATTTCAAAAGGAGTACAAAAACTCCTCAATAAAATTTGGACAAATGTATAATTTCAAACTGTAATACTCCAAAAAAAATCTTTAGTGTATTTTTTCCGAACGTAATACTCCAATACAAGGGAAAATTAGTCTAAGGTCCCTCTCCCATATTTAGTAATAAAAGAGATTCACAATTTTATTTTATATTGTCTAAGGTCCCTCAACTCCCACACCCATATATCACAGAGAAATTCCCACCTCTCTCTCTCTCCCCCCGATCTCATCACTTCACCTCCACCGCAGTTGCCGCCTCCTCCACTGTTACACGAACTGTACCTTCTAGCCAGCTCGGAGACCGATCCGAATGCAGTGGTGCAAAATCGGCGGCGGTAGAGGGACTTAGCGTCGGATTGAGGATCTCAAATAGTCTGGTGGCTGCCCATGCCCATGCTATTCTACGGGATGAAGCAATCACTGTTGGAACTGGATGCCTCGCTTCTCTGTGCCTTTGACAAATCTGCTTTAGTCTTGGCTTCACATGCTTCCATCTGTGCTTGGAGGGACCTAATGGGAACATTGTTCAACAGAGAAACACTTTCATTCAGGAAACAAAATGAATCACAATGATTTGGGTAAGTTGCAGAAATTTTTGTTAATTATGCTTAGTTACTTACATGTATCCCTATGATCAGTTTATTTCAACAAATGTATAACTGGAAGTATAAATGAAAGTGTAAATGAAATCATAACAAAATGTTTTTTTCACTTTCTATTTGTGAATGATGCAGGCTGCATTCAAGAGTGACCCAAATGATGAAGAAGCTTTGAGAGCTATTGATCTTTTCTATGACACAACTTTAATTTCTAGTGGTTCCACTGTAAGTGACTTGTTTTGTATCTTTTATATTATATGTCTACATCATATTTGCATTCAGTAGTTATGAATTTAGTGGGAACAGCCCTTTCGGGAATTTCTCTGGAAAAGGCTAGAGAAATTCAAGAGAGAGAATTTCTTTGGAAAAGGCCAGAGAAATTCCCATAATTTGCTTGACACCAGGAGTGAAGGCAAGCAAAGCATGCTACTTAGGTGTCTGACCATCCTTGGAATTTCTTTGGCTGTATGAAATTTCTCTGGTTGTATGAATTTTCTCTGGGTGTATGAAATTTCTCTAGTTGTATGAAATTTCTTTGGTTGTGATCACTGTGTGAATTTTCTCTGTGCTCTCTCTCAAATTCTCTTCTTTTTTTGGAACTACAACCATCTCTCAGCAGGTTTGGTCCTTTATTTATTTATTTAATATATCATCTTTTATATCACTTTTTTGGTAGCAAATGGATTCTGAAAACAGTGTGAATATGCAATCTTCAAGTGGTGGAGATGAAGAGTATGATTCACGGACCGAGTCAATCTTTTCTTTCTTAAACCACAGTTTTGGCTCCATCTCCAACCACCCACAACTGCCTCCTCCACAATCACCACCACCTCTCTTCCACTACCAACAACCCACTTTGTTTGACCCTCAAGCACACAATCTCAGGCCTTTTTTCTTTTTTAAATCCAGAGAAATTCTTGCGAAAACCAGAGAAATTCTTTGAAAATCCAGAAAAAATCTCGACTGGAATCCAGAGAATTTCTCTGGATCAATTTTCTCTGGAGAGAAATTCTTTGGACCGAATTTTCTCTGGGCTGAAATTTCTCTGGACTGGAATTTCTCTGGTCTGAAATTTCTCTGGACTGAAATTTTTCTGGTTCAATGTTAAGAGACCTTAGATATTATGAAAATATTAAATGTCCTTTATATTATAAATTTTAATATCAGGGACCTTAAAAAAGAAACCCCATACAACACTCCAAAAAAATTCCTTAGTGTAACATTCCAATGTAATACAAAAAAAACCTCATTAGTGTATTTTTTTCAAACGTAACAATCTAATGTAGCACTCCAAAAAAAAGATGTGGGATTCTTCAAACCATTTCAAAAGAAGTACAAAAATGCATTAATAAGCTTTGAGTTAATGTATAATTTCAAACTGTGAGTGTTATATTTAAAAAAAGTACATCGGGGACTTTTTTGGTGTTTATGTGTGTTACATTAGAGTGTTATGTTGGAGATTACATCGATTGGAGTCTTACGTTTGAGAAAAGCACACCGAAGAGTTTTTTGGTGTGTTAAATTGGAGTGTTATATTGGAGTGTTACATTTTTGTTCATAATGTGAGATTTGTTCCAAAAGGAAGGAAAATCCAAAACCTCTATAATGCAGATTGCCTAAATGTGTAATTTTACATTTGGAGAAACTCATTTTTATTCATAAAAAATTAAATTCAAACATGTAAGTGACTATCCTTTTGTATAATTTTCACTTTAATGGGGCATTTGGGTTCATAAAAAAAAGTAAGGACACAAGATCACATTTTGGAATTTATTGGTGCTTCACCCTAAACAAATTGGTGAATTCTAAATTATTTGTTTTGCAGTTTTTTCTAGGAAAGGATGAGAAGAGAGAGGGAGGGAGGGGTCTCAAAATCATGTTGGTCAAAATAGTTTTAGTCCAAAAATAGGGTGTAAAGTTGGGATTTGACGCTCTCCTTGCCAAACAAATCGAACCTTTGCATAGCATAGCCTGCACCATCGAATGATCCAATCCGTGGCACCCAAGTCTTAAGGGCGGTCAAAAATGGGCTGTCTACATCGGCCGGATGGAAGGATGGCTGAATAGAAGGGTGGCAGGCCGACCAATGATTTTTGGTACTGCCCTGCTGCCACAAAAAAGAAACAAAGCACAAATAGAGTGTTTCTAGGGAATGTTTATCTTCTCTGCTCCACCTTATCATGAAACAAATCAAGGGAGGAGTAGAACCGATCAACAAATCATCAATGGTCGCAAGGTTATTGCGTGATGATCCATGGCTTGATGGGACAAAGGCTCAATGAATTAAAAGAAAAGACCAACAAGACCTCCTCCCTATCATGGAGTTACCTCAAGGGAAGTGGTAAACATTGACTCTTGAACCATTATCATCACTAAGAGTATGTAATGATTCAAGACTCAATGGGTTCAATTAACGTCCAATTGAACCCAACTTGATTTTATTATCTTGTTTTTCCTCTTTTAACGCATTTATTAGCCCTTTTAATTAACTTGCCATTCTTTAGCCATTTTAGTCAAAAAATGATAGTTATGTCCACTAAGATAAGAGAAGCATCAAACAAGGGAGTTATTCTTGGCATGAGAGAGATGTAATGCCCTGGTAATGAACCTCCGAAGAGATTAAACCATTAAGCATGGAAGGTCTCTTTCTTATGCTAAAGACAACATTTATGGCACTTTAATTTGCCACTTTCAATAAGATTACAACAATATACAATATAACAATAAATCAAAGCAAAAGAGCAAAATAAGTAAGAAATGTAAGAAAATAAAAGGTTCGTGAAATTCATCTTTCAAGGAAAGGATGAACTCCTTAGTTCACAAACTCCCTCTTGATCACCCTCAAGTGTAGGAAGTGTGTTCTCAAATCCTCAATTCGAAATTATTGAGTTTATGGAGTTTCTGGTATGAAAAGTGGCTAACTCTCTAGTTTTTCTCACTTTCAATCGCTAAACACTCTTCCTTATAATCAAGGCAATTGATCTTTGGCTATATCATAATTTTTGGAGTAGTATTGGTGTATGGAAATGCGGAATTTCTATAGCTATGGAAGCTTGGAAGTGTTTTGGCTCAAGGTTGAAATGTAGACAATTTTTCCTCTTTTGCTCTCTTCTCTCTAACTCCCTCGAATGATTTTTCTCCCTCTCTTCTCTATCCCCTCTTCAATCTATGATCTGAATGTATAAGCCATGTAGGAATCAACAAGTCAAGGAATGGGGGACAAGGTGGAAGACAAAGGTAGTGGGCATGACAAGGATGACAAATGATGATCAAGGCTTTGTTGTTTTTTATTCATCCTTTATGACAAGGCCAAAACCTCTTTTGATAATGGAGGGTGAGTGGAGATAATGATGGATGAGTGGGTGCACTTGAATGGATTAGAAATTAGATAAATTGGGTGTCCGAACAGAACCAAAGCCAAGAAAAATGGGCTGCTGCTGTTTTGGGCTGAGTCAACAAAATATGTTTTTAAGCCCAACTTCAAACGACCGTATCTCCCTTATCCGGACTTGGTTTTAGGTGATTCTTGAGTCTAAATTGAAGCCCCAGAAGTCTAGTTTCCAGTGATGGTAACCTCACATTTAAAGTCTAAGTGTACAAAGAGATATACCTCAATTAGGGAAGGCTGCTCATTTTCCTTGGGCCAGGTCAACAAAATCTCCTTCTTAAGCCCAACTTCAAACGAGCATATCCCTTACACAGACTTGGTTTTAGGTGATTCTTGGGTCTAAATTGAATTCTCAGAAGTCTACTTTCCAATGGTGGTGGCCTCAAATTTAAATTCCAAGTGTACAAAGAGGTATGCCAAATTTAGGAGGGTTGTTTATTTCCTTCTTAATGATTTGATGCTCATTCTTTTCATAAACTAGTTTTCTTTCATCTCCTTCTATTTTTTTTCAAATCCAAACCTATAAAGAAGATGTTTTTTTAAATATTTTTTCAAAGAGTTCACCTCCCTTCCATTTCTTTCAACGTTTTCCTGACTCAGTTTACTGAAAAGTGCAATATTTTAAACCAAATGAGAGCCTCAGAACAATGCAGAAACATTTTAAAAAATATTTTGAAAAGAGGGTTTTAAGGTCTAAAATAGTTTGGCCAAAAAAAATGTGTAAAGGTTGGGATTAATGTTCAAATTTCATCTCTCTTACTGAGGATTCTATGAGAAACACATTCTAATTATCATCGATCAATAGAATGTGCCTAAGTCTTAGGGTCGGTCAAAATGGGATGTGTACAGAGACAAAGTAGGATACTTGCTGATATTCGAGGTGATATCAATGTCGGTTGGTTTGTACTTAATTTTTATTGTTGGGCGTCAAATAAAATCAGCAATTTTGTTGAATGGAATTTGAAAATTCTGACTACACGGATGTGCCCTGAATATGCCAAATAGCTGGGAATAACTATTGAATCGTTGTGATTAGATTCTGAATGACGTAAGCCAAAATGGATCTGATGGTTCAAATCAACCGATTGCAAAGTAACTGCGAAGCACTAGATGATTTCTTCATTAGCTTGCTAGTTCGTCTTCTTGGGCAAATCAGTTGACTTTATGGGTAAACTTTGACCGGCCTATATGGCTTCGTTTTAGCTCTGATTTTGACGCGATTTTTTGTATTGGATTTGTTTCGATGAGTACTTCACATTGGTGTACTCAAAACTAGATTGCGACGACTTTGAAAATTTTAGCTTCTGTAGCACAATGTTAAAAGCAGAATTTTATAGATTCAAGACCACTGACTTTAAGCCCTTGTATCTCTCGCGTTGCAAATCCAATTCGCCTTATTTTTGCGGTATTAGATTTATCTCACGGCCTAGTGTTCATTCCATCATTCATACGCTTCATTCTGAATCTACTTGGATGTCGTTGGACCTCCGAAAATTAACCAAAAATAAGATTTGTCAACTTTGTATTATTATTTTTTGTTCAACTCTTGTCCTCAGCTAAAGTGTGGTCGACGGAGGAGTGTGCTTGGCGAAGGAATGTGCTCGACAAAGGAGCTTGGGAAGGAGGTGGTAGAGGTACGAATGGTGGTACCGCGGTGCTTTAGTGATATGTTTATGTTCTTCAATGTTGCCGAGTAAGAATAGTGGTGAGTGTGATCTTGGGTCTGATCTTGTGGCTTTTCAATGTTAGTAACTCGACAAGCTTGCTGTGGTTATTAATAATTTTTTAAAATGGGTGTTGTGGTTACCGAGAGCAGAAGTGTTGCGATTGTCGGTATGGCTTGCTGTTTACTAAGCGATCATGGTGTTGGCTTTCGATAATTAAAATGGTTCTCCAAATGAGAAATACCTTAGTTGTGTAGAAATCTGTTTCTCCATTCTATTTGGCAAAGTTTAGCACTGTTGAACTTTAGCTTCTGTCGTTGAGCTTGATCAAGGTAGCTAATACCATTTCTAGAAAATGGGTCTTTTTGTGGGATGATGACATTGTCGAGTGATATGGGTGATCTATCCAAAGAACCTTGGTGTTGTCAATAAGATGGAATGAGTGAATGCTTCGATTTTACATGTGCTCGGCGAAGCTTATTCTAGGCCTTTATTT